CGGGGCGGGGGCTCCCCGACTTCCAAAACGCAGACGCTGCCTTCTCGAGGCCCCAGGGGTGGGGGCGCTGGGGAGCAGCCCCCGCCCCCGAGTGCCCGCTCCACACCCCTCCCTGGCCCCCCAGGCTCCCCGCGCTCCTCTGGGGGAACCCCCTTGCATTCGCCCCTGCACACACCCCGGGCCAGCCCCACCGGGACGCCGGGAACAACGCCACCCCCAAGCCCCGGTGGTGGTGTCGGGGGAGCCGCCTGGAGGAGTCGTCTCAACTCCATCCGCAACAGCTTCCTGGGCTCCCCTCGCTTTCACCGACGCAAGATGCAGGGTACGGGGTCCCTGGGGGTGCAGGGGCTGGGGGCACGGATTCCTGAGTCCTAGTATGAGGAGAGAGGTAGGGGGCCTGGATTCCCACGTCCTAGGAGAAGAGAAGATGGGTTTGGGAGGAAAGATTCAGGTGTTGGGAAGAGGGGGTGTGGCATCCATCTCTGGAGGAGGGGCCTCCCTGAAGGACACGCCCCTTCCTTGCTCTGGCTCACCTTCCCATTGGCTCATGGCAAGCAAGTTCCACCCCCGGGGGGGCGTGGTCTAACGGGTGGGCCAGCATCCCTGGAAGGACCATCAGTCAGCATGCCATTTGGGGTTTAGCTACTGGGAGGTGAGTGGGCGGGCGCTGGGGTCTGGAACCTCTGGTTGGAGGTGATTGCTAGCCTGCGTGCTGGACACCAGGATGACGGACAAGTGCTGACCATACTCTACCCTCCCTATCCCCCAGTCCCCACTGCTGAGGAGATGTCCAGTTTGACTCCAGAGTCTTCTCCAGAGTGAGTCTGACGGGGAAGGGAGAGGAAGGAGGGAGGGATTTAATCCCTTAGCCCCCTCCTGACCCGCCTCCAACCATCCCCTTTCACTCAGATTGGCAAAACGCTCCTGGTTTGGGAATTTCATCTCCTTGGACAAAGAAGAACAAATATTCCTTGTGCTAAAGGACAAACCTCTCAGCAGCATCAAAGCGGACATTGTTCACGCCTTCCTGTCGGTGAGGGCCCTGGGTCTTCGTGTGTCCTGGGCAGCATAGGACTACAAATCCCAGAAGCCCTTGGGGGATCCCCCCCCCCCCCC